CTTTTCTTCTAGTGAGCTGGTGCAGGAGCAATGGTGAGGGTGGGTCTTCAACAGTAGCGTGAGCAGCCTGACGCTGTTGGTGCTTATGACTAAGTCTGCTGCTAAACACAGCTAAACTTTCCTTTGCTTTTCCTTTTTGTTCGCTTGATGATGGTATTTCAAATTAATTGGAGTTCACATTCATGAACTTCAGTTCATGTCCTTTTGACCAGAGTTTTGCATACTTTTTTTTTTTTTTTTTTTTTTTTTTTTTTTTGAGGTTTTGGGGTTTTTTTAAATGATGGCAACCCCCCGCCCCCATCCCTTCTTTTTGCCCCATGTTCCCATCAGCTGTACCTTTGTCATAGTCCTGTTTCCTACCGATCGCTTCCTGTGGGCAGCTTCATGCCTCTGAGTGGTCCCACCCAACTTAATTGCTCTGCTGGGTTCATCAAGGTGTCACTAACGATGCAGAATCCTCAGCACATGGAGCGTGTGTTCCTTGGCACCATGAGCCCATCACAACCTGCCATGGGAGCGAGCCTGGGGGCCTGATGGTCCTCTCCTATCAAAGTTCTTCACTGGAGATTAGAGGAGATGTGGCCAGTGGGGGAGGAATCCTTGGATTTCCCTTCTTTTTGTGCTTTCCAGCACCACAGAGCAGAGGGAAGGGAAGGAGAGAGAGGTTCAGGAGGAAGAGGCTTTGCTCAGGCTTCCTTTGATCTGCTCCAGGTGAAGCTTTTCTGACCCAGGCAGAGCAGATCAAAGAAAGACGCCAGAATACAGAGCACTCGAGTATTTCATGACTGTAGAAAATACTGCCACAAAAGTGCCCCTTTTTTTTATTTTGAAAATGTGCTCACCTTACATATAACCTGTCATGGCACTTATTACCAAAACCAGATGATCACAAACTATTGATTATTTTACATACCTCCGTCAGGAAGGCATTAGCCATGCAGTGTCCCACATAAAAAACCTGTGACGGGTACATGTAGAGTGGGATAAAGCCAGCCAAAACAAATGATAGCAAATTGCACATCTATTTTATTTCTAAAAAAAAAAGTCTTTGCTGCGAGAGATTCTAATTTCAAATCTTCAGTTACCCAGTGACCAGCAGAAGACTTCCCTTGCAATGGGCTGGGAGGCACAAAGGGCTGGGAGGGGATACAGCTGGGACTCCAACTCACCCCGGGGACACTCCATGCCATGGGACATCACACTCAGGGTATAAAGCTGGGGGAGAAGAAGGAAGCGGGGGGACATTGGCAGTGATGGGGTTTGTCTTCCCAAGTCACCATTCCATGATGGAGCCCAGCTTTCCTGGGCACAAATAAGTCCCCACCTGCCATGGGAAGGAGGGAATGGATTCCTTGTTTGGCTTTGCTTTTGCTCAACCCGTTAAACTTTATTTCATTTTTATCTCAACCCATGAGGTTTTTCCTCCACTTTTAATATTCTGCCCCCCATCCCACCAGGGACAGTGAGCAAGTGGCTGCATGGTCCTATCTGCTAGCTGGGATTATACCCCAACCTGTGCTAAGCTCTGTGCTGCCTGCCTTATGCCCATAATTAGATAATTTTCTGCCCCAAAGATGCTTCTAGGCGAGGTCTTATCCTTCTGATTGCCTTCCTGCCCAGTGAGCAGCCCCACGGAGCTCCGCTGACTCATGGTGGACCTTGTCAGGGTTTCTCACAGCGCTCAAACATCACGCTTCCTTCATCACCAGCCACGGGAGCACCCCCTTGGCTGAAAAATCCCCGACAGCCTTACCGAGGTGGTTTTGCCTTTTTTCCACGCCTGGAGAGAGTGGGAAGGAGCAGGGAGGGATGGCGGGTTCCCTTTCCAGCCAGAGAGAGGGTGCCATCTACTGAGGCACTCGGCAGCTGCCGTGCTGCGAGCCTGGCCGGAAAGCTCCTCAGACCAAAGTAAATCTACCAACGTGACGAAACTCATTAAAAAAAGATCATTTCAGGGATGTTTCAGCATTTGTTCACATGGCTGTGTGGTTCCCTTTACTGTGTGCTAAGGATAAGGGAGAAGCTTTATGGCGAGCAGGGCTCCGAGGCAAAAGATCGTTTTGGTACTTATGCTTTAAAATAAAATTAATTACATAAATCCCTGTCTTTTACACTGTTACAGGGTGAGATGAACTGAGTAGTTATGGTATAGTCATTTCTCTTGTTAACCCTGAATTTACTCCGTCTATTTTTATGGAATCTGGAGTTTCTATTAAACCTTTGTTAAAACCCACTTCATGCTGAGGGTTACATGCTGAATTATCATCCTGTGTCACGCGTGGAACCTCAAACTCATTATCCTGGAAACAGATTGCAGAACTATTTCTGCTAATACTTTTATCTGGTACTACAAAATCCATCACCGTGACGTTCTGTATAACAAGGGTCACAAACAAACAGCATATTTTCCCCTTGCAAGGAGCTTTTTGGAGGCTGCCTTCGAGCGCTTTGGTCGGTGTGTTTGTCTCAAGAGCCAGATCTGCCTTTTGCAGAGCAGACTCCTTTCGTTATCTGGTGGTATCTGTCTTCTTTAATGAGAAAAGGGCACTAAAGAGGCTGGAGAGACAGAGCAAATGCCTCTGTGTGTGACTGTGAGTAAATCACGGGCTGCGTGTAAGCCCAACACATGCTTTCTGTTGGTAATCCACAGGGGAGTGTACTAATCATGCGTTTCTACTGCTGCTCCATGTATCCAAACATTTGACCAGGTAAAATTATTGGGGATGTCAGGGAAAAAGATATATTTGCTGTTCTTGCTTTCACCTCATCTTAGAACATAAAACCCTGTAAATAAAAGCTAATCTTGGCAAATCACGCAGAAAAAAGTCAAAATCAAGTTGTCAAAGTAATAAACAGTCCAATCCAGCTGACAGGTTTCTTTGTTACAAAATAATATACACATGTCAGCTGCAAAAAAGATAGGCTGAGACCGAAATGTACTGTTTTTGAAACAACAAGTATGAAAAGTCCTTGTTCTCAGGATCCTATACAACTGAGCTATGATAAAGTTCAAAAGGAATTTTGGATGTGTTTTTTTTTTCTAAACATTTTTCGTCAGCCTACCCTGATCCAACCATTTATTGCAGCCTGATAGACAGCAAAAGCAGAGGGGAGCACTGGCCAATAGCTGTACTGGCTTTTGGGGATTCATTTTATTTTATCAGTGAATGACAATTGTGATTGGAAATGGTTCAAGCTTATGCAGGTTGTGTCTTTGCTGTTCTTGCCACCAGATTACAAAATAAATGCAGATTTTCCAACACAGATGTAGACTGTGTTTGGTATCGAGAAGTATTTATGGCAGATCAAATTGTTCTCTGATGCTTTGGACAGATTTTACAATCAACAGGTTAAGTTAACAGGAGTTGTGAATTATATCTGAGTGGTATTTATAAACAAAAAGTCACATTAATGCATGCAGGAGGGTACGGAGAGGTTTGAATAACACTGTCAACATGTCTACTGCCAGCACAGTCTTCCTCCTCCCCTCCACTACTTACTGGTAGAATTCTTTTTTGGAGATATTTAAGTCTCAAACCAGGTACGTGTGGATTGATTTAAGCTTCCAAATAAAACCAGAGTGGTGTGGTTGTTATTCCAGAGGTCACCCGCTGGTATAAGTACTTTTTTCCTGATCTTCCCAGAGTACTGCCATTTCTTTAATGCAGCTAAACAGTGTTCCAAATATTTAAAACCAATTTCATGACTCTGAATAAGTGCCTGGAGAATACTAATTCAGTTTAGAAGCAGTATGGCTCTAGCATTTTTTGGCGTTTGATATCATCACTGATTTTGCAATAGGTGATGGAACACTCTTTCTTAAAAGGCCATTGACAAAATAAGAGTTGAGAGTATCTGATAAAAACTTTAAGTGGATTCTTTTTCTTTTCCATGCTTATTTTTGTGTTATTGTCATTTACAGAGTTTCTGAGCTCCCTGAGGTTCTGTTGTTACAGTCACCGAAGAGAATCACAAGCAAAGACAGTGCCTATTGAATGCACCTTCTAATGATTTGCTGGGGGTTTTTTTAATGCTGCCTGCACCAAAATTGCAAAGAATCATCGCAGAATTAATGCAGTGTGTCTGGGCTACTTCTAGAGAGAGGTGTTCACATGCCATAGCCTGGCCATTACCAAATGATATTTTTAATAAATTGCTGTAAAGTTGTTGGTAAGCAGAAATTAATCAAGAAAATATTGTCCTCACATTTCCTAGTGAAATGTGAGCAACACACACGTAAACTTTGTGTCCTGTTGCATGTGTCAAGGACTGTGAATCATGAGCTCCAGTATTTCCACTCCAGCTTTTATATTCAGTCTTTATTTGGCTTTCGACACAGAATTGAAGCACTCCATGCTTTGTTTTTTGTGTATTTAAAAAAAGGGAGAGCTGGCAACAGCATCATTACCCACCTCCCCTTTTAAGGAGATGGTCAGTTAATGCTGCTACACCACTTTGAAGATAGGCTTTCCAAAACTTAAATATGGTTAGGCATTTATACAGATAATAAAACATCCATAGCTACCTAGGATAAGATATGGGGGATTTAAAATGCTCAGGCTTCCTGGCATAACTAACTGCTTGAGATTAGGAGGGAAACCTTCCCTCCAGGCAGGTTATTACTCAGGGTATTACTTTTTGGTGGTTATGGGTGGCTTACATGGTGCTTTGAAGCATCACACGCTGTTGCCTGGAGCAGGGCACCGGGTTAAATGAACTCCTCACCTTCATGAGAATGGCAGGTCTTCTCCTTCCGTGTTCCCAGGTCCTCCCTGGCTGGTGGAATCGGACTCTTTCCCTTCTATGCATCTCAGCTGATGCACGTTCCTGGCTGTGCCTATACCATATGTCCAAGGGATGTCCCACCTTGTCAAGACCTTCGGTATAATGTTCCTGGCTGTGCCTATACCATACGTTCAAAGGATGTCCCACCTTGTCAAGACCTTCGGTATTTCAGTTTTTCACTATTACTATATGAAATTTTAAAGGTTGCAGTTCTGATTTGGTTCAGTGGACACAACTCTAACAAGAAGAGCCTCACTAATTAAAAGCTCATAAAGCAACCCAGGTGCCTTTGAGTGAGCCAGAGTGCACTTCAACAAGCGATTGTGGTGACAGATTTGGGGTTGAGTCATCTCCAGCGACAGAACCAGAACACACAACTATCCCACTCATCCTTGGCTGTTACTTCCACATTCTGGGGGGTGGGTTAAGCCTCAGGAGGGTGACAGAGAAGACCCCAGGCCACCTCGTGTCACTGGCTGCCATGCCTGTGAGCCGGGCACTTCCCATCGTGGTGCTGGGGTGGGCAGAGCAGAATCTGTTTGAAAGTGCTTTGCTAAAACATACTGAAATGGTAAAATTGCTGCCAGAATAAAGTCTTTTGTTGGACTATTTTGAGCAAAAGCAAAAATAAAGCAACAGATATGGGCTTAGTACTAACAAATAAAAGCATTCCTCCTCGAAAAAATGCTGTTTGCAGCCTTGTCCTTGCATTTTTAAATATGCACAACTACACGGAGGGTGTGTGTGGTATGTGTGCGTGTGTTTGTGTAATAACTGGCTTCAATTCAGGTCTGATTTTTTTCTTTAAACTTGCTTATCAGACAGCATGTCTCGTTTAATTTTCATTCAGTTCATAGTTTCTGTTTTACTGCCTTATTATATTCTTCAAGTTCACTGCGTGTTTCTCTCCCTTCATCCTTTTTTTCCCCGTTTGTTATATACTTTTTATATAAGTGTATACAGAGAGAGAAAAATAATCGCTCATGAGCAATCTTGAAACCCTTTTCCTTCCCTAAACAGCAACAAGAGATTTACATTTATAAATAGGGAGCCGGGGGGCTGGGAGGCAGCTCGCTAACACACGCCAGCAGTGAAGTTAGGCAGATAAATTTTTCAGTTCTTTTATCTAGTAAACATCCTAATGATCGACATCAAAGGCTGAAGAAAGGAGCCGTTCCTCTCTTTTGTGCCAGATTGAGAAAGAGGGGGCTCTTTTACATCTCATATGGGAGATATGAGGAGCCTTTGAATGGATCATTGCTTTTTATGAGTAGTAATGAGGTGAGAAGTATTCTAGTGTGTGGCACAGGCCTTCATTAAAAGCGTGAAACAGAATGGCTTATGGTTAAAAGGAGTAATTTGTTCTAACATACTTGCTAAATTGTGCTGTAACCATGCCAGGTCGCTGGACTGCATTTTCCATAGGATTCCCCAATGCATTTGTGTGTAATTATTCTGCCTGTATGGAGTTCGGGGATTTTTCCAATGGCTTGTGCTAACTAGTTGACAACGCTCATTCCTTTACTGGAAACGTCTCTAAATGTTGTATTTTAAGAGGTGTGGAAGAGCCCAGATTCTGTTGGTCAAGCCTATATTTCCTCAAAAGAATATGAACCGGCAAAACAACATAAAATGAGCATAACCGATGTGAAGGGCTCACTAAGACGCGGTGAAAAAGCAGGAAAACCATCCTCAGGCTCTCCTTCCTCAGTTTTCTGGGATTTTATTGGAAAGGTCCCTGCAAAACAAAAGCAGTGAAGTGTCTGCCTTCCCACAGCACCGCTCGGGCCCCTCCTCGCATCCTCAGCCGGCAACGATGCTCGGGAGAATCACCCCCTTGACTTCTGCTGCTGCTGGGAAAAGTGAGAACAATCACCCAACCACACCAGTAACACCAGTAACACCACGCACAAACCCGCTTCCAAGTTCTCCATGAGAGGAAATTTCAATTATACGTGCAGCATAAATTTTTGCCCCCAGTAATTTCAATTATAAGTGCAGTAGAAATTTCTGCCCCAGTGGTTTTTTATCAGTGGACAGAACACAGGCGTGATTTTAATTTTTATTCCGGGGCTGGAATAAGTTGCACTGGCCAAGGAGGTTTTTCCAGGTTATAGGCACAATAGGAGTCCTTTTGTCAGCAAACCTCTCGGAGCATCCAGGGCTGACCTTTAGGCATTAAGCCTGAGGGATCTGCATCTGGCCGGCTGCAGCAGGAGGAGGAAGAGGAGGAGGAGGTGGAGGCAGAGCGCAGCCTCCCCAGCTCCCAGCCCCACAGAACCCTCTTCTGCCTCCAGTCCTCCCCACGCCAGAAAACTGACAGCTCTGAGTTTTTAAGCTGGATCCAACATAGGAGTAACAGCTGATCAGGAGATTTTCTATTAAACTTCTTTAAAAAGAAGCATTAATTCAATTTATGTCTTTTAAACAAAACAAAAAGATGGGGGAAAATCAAAACAGACAATATGTATTTTTCATAATTTTTTTTTTACTTTGTCCTCATTTAAGGACAAATAGCAGTATCTAAAAAGAACAAAAATCGCACCAAAATATTTTAATTAACTCAAGCCAAGCTTTTGTTTGGAATGCACATTGATGAAAATTTATGAGATTTCAACTTTTTGCCCTGAGTCAGAGCAGGAAAATGTTTGAAATCTCAAAACCATCTCATTCCTAGCTTTGAACTAAGGGAAGGGACGGGACTGTGTGTGTGTGTGTGTGTGTGTTTGGCAGCAATTAAAATATGAGAGCTGTGCTTAGAGCCATATGCTTCCTCAGGCACTGATAAAAGTTGCATGTGTATAACTGATGGAGAATTTGTCCCATCATGTAAAGACAGCTGAGTTAAGTACAGTTGTTTTTTTTAAAATCAGCTTATTATTTCCTCCCGTACAAATCAGGACAGGATAGTCCACTTTAACCTGTTTAGATGAATGAAAAAACAGCGAGATAATCTTGTGAAGAACACATGAAATCCACTCTTATTACCATTTGTTTTCTGAGCGTCAGTCACTTAGAAACCAGAGAAGGAGATGAATTAACTTCTACACATATTTTCCAGCCATACTGGGAAATACAGAAGATTTCACTGTTTCAAGTTCGTCAGCAAGTGCTGGGTTTATTCCTCATAATCACATTCACGAAGTTTTGTTTGAAAGCGTTGGTGACGATGATTTAAATTGCTTATTTCAACGATGTGAAAAAAAGAATAGAATAAAGCAGAGAAACACAGTCTGCTTTACTTAAACAGCCACTCCTCCAAATGTGTATGTATATATACGAGTGTGTATGTATATATGTAAGTATAGGATATATATATTATTATATATGTGTATATATATTATAACATAATGTCTGCACACTACACAGTTTGAACAAGCACCAAAATACAATGTTAGATTTTCCTATAGATTAGATTGGTTTTCCTGTTTTTTCAGGCAGCAAGGGCAAGTGACAGGACAAAGATCCACACAGGATGATTTGAAGTATTACATCCCATCCCATTAGATTAATTTTGAAAGTTTCAATTTCAATTCATTACCATTCAAAAATTCATAGCAATTCATACCACAATATATCTGTGTTACTAATAGCGGTGAAAACACCAGCAAACTTGACTTAGTCCTCAGAACAATATGGGATTAGTATTTTCAGCAAATGTAAAGAGGAACGTACAAACTCTTCATTGCTGGCTTAGGTCCTTATCAAAATTCCCTGGTTCAGCTAAAGAAAACCCCAAAAGTGCACAGTGGTATGGTTTAGTGATGGTTTTTTGTCGGTGTTGGATTGATGGTTGGACACGGTGATCTAAAAGGTCCCTTCCAAACTGAAAAATTCTATGATTCTATGATTCTAAAATCTCAAGAGACATCCTGATATCACAAGAGCTGAGGCAGGGACAGTATTTTCTCCCTGAATACAGGTGAGGGAACTCACCCAAGTTCCTTCAACCAGGGGCTGAGCTCAGGATGCTGTGGAGGTCTCAAAGGATGCCTCTGCCAAACGTCGGCTTCTTGCTTATTGAGAAGATCCACATGTCCTGGTATTGGAAGACCTTCCTGGGATGAATAACCAGATAAATGTGCCTTCAAGCAGCATTAATCAGAATATTTATAGCCATGCACTCCAAGGTTATGCCATTAATAGGAATTGTCCGTTGTCGTGTGTTGCTCATTGCAATCTTTAACAAATATCTTGGCACTGATGCTTTCTCTATGGTTTTAAGCAGTGTTTGAAATGAGATCTTTATTTTTTTATTGGTGTCTTGGAATTTAGATCTGCAGAGCCAGGTTTGGCCACCTTGCAAACACCAGAGAGTTTGTGCTGCAATTACAATCAAAATGCGTTTTAAATCAAAACAGACTTGAACATAATGTTCCTAGGCTGACAGTGTTGGTAGACCTTCTCCTTTCTCCCACCTCAGCTACTTTGAAGACCAGCTTTGAAGCCATTTGTTTGAAATAGTTTATTCCGTTAATAATTTAATTGATGATTGCTTAAAAGGGAGAGAAAATAAAGATGGGCAAATCAAAATCACTTGAGGCTACCTGGGAACCAGGAAAATGCACCACTCCATAGGCAGAGTTGTCAGAAGGCAGAATCCTGACCACAACTGGGAACTCTGGAGCCAAGTTGACCTATGGAAGATAAGAAAATGTTGGTCCCGATCCTGCCCTGATCTTCCCAACAGTATCCCAATATATTATTGTTAGACAGAAACTAAGGTGAAGATCTAGAAAATGTTCGTCCCGATCCTGCCCTGATCTTCCCGACAGTATTCCAATATATTATTGTTAGACAGAAACTAAGGGTTCTAAGTTTTCAAAGGGCTCTCAGATGCTGATAAGACTGTAAGTGCTGCTATTAATGGTTTCTTTATTAGCAATTGTTAAAAAAGCAGGAATACAAGCATTGTAAAGAGAGTGAGTTTTGCCCTGTGCCTCAGTTTCTCCGTAGAGTGTGTGCACAGTTCTCAGCAGATCTCTATATCTGAGTTTCACAGAGTTGAAACGACTTGATGGTATTGAAACCCCTGATAAACAGTCAGAATCTGAAAGGCATACGGTTGTGTATATATATATATATAGCTGCTTTG